AAAATAAGTATTAAAAGTAGGGGAAAAAGAAAAAAGAGCGGGAGCAAAAATCAGTTTAATTTATTTGTGGCGACTCACATCTCTCGCGCTTCAGGCTCTACTCGCCAGGTGGCCAAGCCCCTAATAATTGTCTCCCGTCAAGCGGCGAAATTCCCGCACGATTACTATATAAGCGCGATCGAGTCAGTCTAAGCCCACACCTCTCTTGTGTCTAAGGCAGGGAGCACGTCATCAGCCTTACTGATGAGTCCTGGCGTGCTCTCGGGACGAAACACCTTTTTCTCTCTTGTAGATGACCTCTCGATCTCTATAAATATACGATATAGTCGGTTGCAGCCAAAAGAGAAAAACTCGTATCGTCGCTTGCTTTGGCTGTGTGCTCAGATATATAGCTATAGTCAACATTTTCACTCCTCTCCTCGTAGACACACATTCGGTATACCCCTTCCACGTCTCTCCAAAATGTGCGCCTATATGACCGTTTCCACGCGCATCCATTCCTCTTCTCTTAGGCGCACGCTGTCCGATAATGTCCGATACGAGTAGTAAGATGAGCGCCCGGTTCAACGGCTGGCCGCGGTGGGGCGCACCGATCAGTGCTAAAAAGTCGTCTTGCATCGTAGCATTGGTGTTAGCAATCTCTCTACTCACCTCTGCTGCTGTACTACGGTGGTCCACCTAGCGTTCAAAGTGGTTCGCCAGCTGTCCCACTGCCTGGGTCGGTAGGCGTACGTTACATTAGGACTCTATCCGACCGTGCGAGGATAGAGGGCGTTCCACTAATCTCTCAGTGTAGGTTTCCTGTAGACTACACTGTTAAAAACGGATAACCAGTCGATTTCAAATGAATTGTCTGCAGGTATCAATTTTTAACCATTATAATTAAAAAAATATGTTTCTCGTGATGATTACACTAGTATACCCTCAAATTTAAAAATCAATAGACATGTACACCTACAGATCTTGTACAAACTTACTTTCGAACATAGTAATTTTTACTATACTGAATACGGGTCAGCGAAAATTTCCATACACGCAAATAGATATTTTTTGTTGAGAGGTTGGCACCAACGTTGGCAAAGAAATACACATGACCGACTTTATCGGCTGTTCAATGACGATTGTAGATTTTAGTAAATGCAAGGATCGAGAGCTGGCGCCAGCAAAAACTTAATTCTACTTGGCTACTTTAGCGTAGGCTAATTTATCTTTCATTTAATGAGGCGAAAAATCGCGTTATTTTCAACAAAATGGTTTTTGTACGTTTTTCTTTGTATAAACAGTTTATTCACTCTTGACTATTGTCATCTCATGACAAGACAAAAAATGTGTATAAAAAATAATCAAAACCGAGGCTTCGACAATATTTAACTGTGATCACATGCATGGAACTAAATTTTTATACTGTTGTGTATAATTTTTTGCGATTTACAATTAAGAGTTTGAACATTATGCTTGATATAATGCTAGTACCTACATATAACGAATCAACCATTTCTCTTTTTAAACAATTTTTTTTACTAGGATTGATTTACAAGTATTACGCCTTTTTTATTAACAGTATATAGTCTGTGTAATTCAACAATTAAGTCTGAGAACTCGTTAACGTCGTTAAGGTCAATGTTAACGTGCAGCACACAGTCCAAATTATTCTTAAAAATGTCTTCTACGTTACCATATCTCATATTCTTGATAGACGCAATTGCGTTTTGTTTTTCTTTCATGAACAGTCTTTTAATACTTGGTAATGTATTTATCCTTGACAGAGCGCTTACGTTGACATCATTGTCTACTGCATTTAAATGTTTCCATCGTGTCCCACAACTCTGAAAAGCTGGTGTTGTTTTCTCGAGTTTCAGATTTTGTCTCTCTTGATTTGAAAGTTCCTCTTTCAATCGCAGATTTTTCGACTCGTGCAGTCACCATAATAAGTTTCAGGTTTGCTACGAAAATTAATAGTAATATTATATTATTTTTCATTGTTATTCTTATTTCACTTATTATTATTATTATTCTAGTCTTATTTATCATCATTATTTTTATCATTATTTTTGTTATTAGTACCATTTGTATTGTATAGATATACATATTTTGTCACAATAAAATGTTATTAACTTATT